GAAAGAACAAGAGCACGCACTGCACGCGGTGTTAACTTGTCTGTTAAGGGCAGCGACATGTTACGACTCCTTTTTATAAAAATATTTTAAGGGTCATATCTCTAAAAAAGTTGCTCTTTGGATAATGTCCATTGTCTTAAAACTGTGCCTTGCCAAAGTAAAGAAGTAGTTCAAAAAAAATTGGTATCTTGAATATTTTTGAAATGATTCTACGTAGAAAGTTATTGAGACAAAGAAATCGTAGCAAAAAGGAGAGGAGAGCTTTCAAATAATGCCCATTGTCTTACAATTGACTGAACCTTGTTATAAGAAGCACACATTCCCAGATTCATGTTGATACCGTTAAACATGTCTAAATAATTGGCTTCAATAAAGGTTTTGCACGACGATGACTACTGCAAAAACGAATGACAATCATAATTTTTATCGGTTATTACTTTTATTATCTTTTTAATCGTTAAGCTTTGATCATTAAATGTTTATATTACACACGTAAAATTAAAGACATAAAACGAGTTATTCGGCATTTTCACACATACCCTACGCCTGTGTTATATATAATAAATGCAATCAAAACAGTTTGTAATAAAAAAGAACTGTTTCAGAATAAAACTAGCACTTTTTTTGACCTTTGCGATGGTATATAACATGCAGTAAGTGACTGTATTCCTTATGTCAGCCCTGTGTGACCAAATTAAAAAAGAGGTAAGTTTCTCTCCTTATCCTTAATAAACTTCTATTTCGAATGATCAATTATGACCTAAAGTGTGATTTAAATCTTCAATCTGCACTTCATTTTATCAAAATAGGACTTGAATTAACAAAGATATGAATAAATGAACACAATTATCAGATATGTTATGGTTTTGTTTTCGATTTGCCTCATCATTGTTGTTCCATAGTTTCAACGTATTTGTGTTTTACAAATTGTCACATATAACTTAAAATCTTCCCAAAATAAAAAAACAACAACAATACACAGATATAAACTGCCAACTTAAACATGAAACATATTTTTTAACAATTAAAGGCTCCTTATGGGGTTGATTTTTGTATTGTCTGCAACACCATGATAGCAGTGGTCTGCATTTTATTTCGTTTGTGCCATAAACGCATAGCGGAGAAAGAATAATGTCCTCTGCTCATGAGCTTCGTGGAAAACAAAAATTGTCAAATGTAGTGTCCACAACGCAGGTATGTTACATTAGGTTTGATTTGATTTGCTATTATATAGATTTCTTTTCTTTTATTCCTTAGGTGAAAAAAACCCTTAATTTATTATAGAAATACAGACAATGGCTAAAAAGGGGTCATGAAAACATATTATAGTATTGAAAGCAAAAGATAAGTCTCCTACCGGTAAGAATATCATATATATTGGCCATATAATTATGCCATTTTGGAAGACATGAATAGACTTCAATCATTTGAATTTACTATATTGTCTGTATCATACATGAAGATATGTGTTTAGTTTCACTGCCAAATAAGAAAATTATGTATCAAAAGATCCAATTTTCTCAGGATGAATATGTATAAATAATGGTTTACCTTGTCTCTATTTTCATTTCCAAAGTTCCAAGTTCTTAAAAAGTGATCTCAGGAAACAGTTTAAGGGACGACAGACATACAGACAGACAAACGGACAGACACTCTGATAGTAAATCTGCAAACATATCTGCTTGTAACCAGAATATAACATTTTTAGAACCAAATTCTTAAACTAAACAGGAGATAACTCTTGAAATAAAGATGTTTGACTTATGAACATTGTCAAACATGTAAGTGGTGACATGACCGAGTGGTTAACGCGTCGGACTAGTAATTTAATGATCGCTAGCCGCATGGGTTCAAACCAGTCAGGGGCAAGTCGTTGTTTCCTTGAGCAAGGAACTTTACACTCATTGCCCAGTACTGATTGGTTCAAGGAACGGATTCGAAAGTGTGTCTATAAGCTTATTGCTTCCTACATAATCGAACTAAAATAAATTCTGTATAAACCAAACTTGATGTGAGTGTAACAAAGTACAATTATCCTAAGTATAAAATAGAAACCATTTATGGTTACAGAGAAAAAAAGTGAAAAAGTTGCAATTTTCAAATATACCATTTATAGTTACAATGAAGAAGGTTTTCAATTTTCAAATGAATTTCAAAGTCAAAATGACAATGGCACTAGACCTATAATTCTAATCACATTTGATGCATGTGTTGCAAATTGGTAATGAACATATATTTAAAATTTGAAGCAAATCCTCAAAGAAATAGGAAAATTAATGTTACTGATTGCTAAACAAAATGAATGGTTTCCTTGGAAGTCATTGCGTGCTATGAAATTCAATGGTAGATTAGCTCGTTGCTATGGAACGTTAATACTTGCAATGGAAGTCAGTGGTTGCTATAAAGCTATAATACAGCTTGCTATAAAGTCAATGGCTTCTAAGAAGTAACTGGTTGCTATGGAAACTAAACTTGATTTAGAGTAGACGGTTTTTACTATAAAGATTTAAGGAACATTTATGTTCCCGTTGCGGGACCAATTTTGACCTCATTGCCCTTACTTGAAGAAAATGTGTAGAGGTTAGCCAAACAATGTTTAATACCAAGTATTACAAAAAGAAACATTGCTTTTATAACGAATATTATTTGTTGTTTCTAAAAATCTATTTCTTAAGTTACGCAGCCCGGACTAAAGTACAATAATTCAAGATGGACGCCAATATGGCCGCCATAAGTTACAAAATACCATATAACTTTTGTGTCTTAACTTTTTACTTTAAGATTTTTTACAAAGTAGTTTTAATTGCACAATATCAGCTAAAATATGGCTAATTTATGATTCAGTCAAGCAAAAATGACAATTATATGGCAAGCTTTAAAATCATTACTAGCAATTGACCAAAAAGTGGTAAAAAATAACATTTTTGACAATTCGGTGACTTTCGTTTTTCTGTTTTAACATAATTAAGATGAAAAAGCATTTAAATTATGTGTAATTTATCAATTTAACATAGCTAGACAAGTTAAGGATAAAAATCATTATCTGAGCATTTATGCCGCAGGAGTAGAGTTCAACTGTTGGTGCAGTTCCGAAAAAAATAACAATGTTCCCAAAACTTGCCTTTACTTTAGAAATTTAGTTTAGTGTAAAGAAAATTTTGTTTTAATTGTATAATTTTATCCTTTATCATTTGAACATTGCTTGATAAGTTAAGCATAAAAATGTATTACCTGAGCATCTATCCCAGAAGAGTATCTAAGCTTAAAAAGTGGGTGGGGTAAAAAGAGAAAAAAGGAAGAAAAACACGTTCAAAATGATAAAGCTTCAGACCTGAAATTTTGCTTTACTTTACAATTTTAGTTTATCAAACATGTAATTGAATTTTGTTATAAAATATGTTCACTTACTTGTTGTTGTTTTTTTGGTTCTATTATATCTGTTAAACAATTATGGGATGGGATTTTATATAAAACATGTATGGATAAATACTATTTGCTTAGGAATTTTATAATGTGTTTTTTACAGTGGATATTCGATCTCACTACATTTTGATATAAACTTTGGTTTTGGTTGACACATTAGCAGCACCATTTTAACTTTAACTATTATATTATCTTAAATGAAAGAAAAGAGATGTTGTTTTGTAATTGATAAAAGGAGCATTCATTAATGAATTCTGTGCCAATATCATACTGAATACATGTAAAATCACACAGTCATAGAAAGTTGCAATAGTGAAAACCAGAAGGTGTTTAAGCCTAAATAAACATATCAATTAAACTTTAAAAAGACTTAAATATATTTTTATATTATATATATATATTAAGTATAGATGCATTTATATATTTTATACAAAAAAAACAGTCAAATTTAATTACTTAAAATGAAGGAAGCATTTTATGCCCATCACCTATTAAAATGTGTGAGGAATGATAATTTGTACAGTGCCATACCTTCTTCAAATATCCATACTTTGAGTGTGGTCCATACCTTTGTCATATATGGTCAAACTAAATTTTGCGTTTATTGTGCACATGGTCAAGTCAGGTCAATAATTCTGACATTCTTGGATGAACTTAATAAAAATGTGTTTGGACATTATATCCATGTGTCACATTAAAAAATCTCCAGCTTTAAAGCTCAAGGTCACATTTGTACTTCCATATTCATAATGTGATTAAAAGATTGCTGTGTCCGTCCACGACATCGTCATTCATGGATGTGTCTCACGCTAAAACAAGATATGCTGCTCAAAGTCACCCCTTAATTTTTCATTTACATATATTGATACTCTTGTCCGGTCAACAATTCTGATTTGCATAAATGTGTTGCATTGTAAGGCCGACATGTTTCACAAGAATAATCAAGTCTCGGGCTTTAAGGTTAAGGTCATAACTGTCAATTGTCATAATTTGTACATACATTTGTAAATGTTTGATAGATTTTGGAAATATTATGCGTTAACATGCTACTTATTAAATTATTAGTCAGCGAACTAGATTTAGTTGTTAATACCAAAGGTCAAGGTCACAAATGAATGACAAATGCCATGATAGTGCACTTAAAGTTATGTCCATATACTTCCCACTTATTTACAGATTGTAAAATAGATTTTCTCAATTAAGCAATAGTTTAAAACAATTTGTTAGGGAGAACAAATTTGAACATAAAAGGTCAGTTTGAAGGTAAAATGTCATAAAAATATATTCATGATAGTGTTTATTCATCAATCTTGTTATTCTTGGACTGATTGAACTAACAAGTCATAATTTTGTGGCAAATTAAGAAGATCATTCTTACAGTTGCAGAAAAGTGAAAGTTATGCTTGTATATCAAAGTCATACTTTGACTTTTTTCTGGTAACATTAGTGTCATTCAGTTATAGATGCATTTTTCCAAAAACTTAACGCACGAGTATACGTAAGTTTGTGTTTATAATTGTAACACTTTCGACACGTTTGATTGTTCTGACAGACCTTGTTATAATCATCCTATTCTTTCACAATACATCAATATTCTGTTTTTGACGTATTTCGTCGTCGTCGTCATGAACATCATCATCATCATCATCTTCTTCTTCCAGATCTCCAACAACATCTTTATCATTCAAAAAGCACAATTAGCTTTAAGATTATAATCATAAATGCTGGTGTCAGGTAATATTTGCTTTCCTTTCAACTACTCCATTTAATATTGTACGATCTCAACATTACTTTAATTATGAGAATGTTTCCAAATGCACACAACATAATCATTAGCGCTTGGGTTTCTTGCTGTGCACTTTTTTTGCAGGTACATATTTCATAGATAGATTAAGGGCATGATAGCAACAACAAAACAGCAACGGTAGGTTGATAAATGCCATACAAATAAGTCAATTGCTACGTACATTTGTATTAAGCCTGACTAGCTCAATAGGGTGAGCATCAGATTAGTAATAACGAAGTCGCTTGCTTGATCCTCCGACAAAGTAAATGAATCTTTGAAAATATATCTCTTACCGCTTATTCAGAACTTATGTGAGATGAACAGGGATCACTTGCTGAGAAATTTGCAACTTGATAATCAAGGAAATCCGGTTAGGCAGACCGAAAGCCGAAATAAGACCAAAACATTTGTTATAGAACGCCAAGTTTCTGTTTTGCCCATTTTTTCTCAATAGGGCACATACATTCTGTTTCTGGGGGTGACCAATAACACTTTTTATGAAAAGTGTCACATTGAACATTCTAGGATGACCCCTGTATAAACAGATCTGCGGATGTTTCAAAATTAAAAATTTTACTATTTCATGTTCATGTTTATTGTTAAAATTTGTTTACTAAAAATATGCCCAAAATAGTTAAAGCAAACAAAATGACAAACGGAAAGCTTTAAGAACACCCACTATGGCACATTTACGCTCGGTTTGATTGTGCCATTCATGGACAGCAGTGATATATGCAAGCTTCCATCAACACCCTCTAGCACAGGCTTAAGCAAAATTCAATATTTACACAAAAGTGAAATTTTTAAAGTGAAATTTTAAATTTCAAACCTTCGTAGATAAGTTCATTAGATGGTAATTAAGGGATCTTCAATGTCACAATTGTGGCACTTTATGAAAAGCAGTGTATGACTCCAAGTAAAAGAATGCGTTAAGCCTTAATATGAAAATTGCGTTAAACTAAATAATTGAAACCTTTGAAATAGGGTTATGAAAACTTTGGGTTTGGTGCTTTCTGGATACCCTGCTGTGATGGCTTGCGTTTGTCAGGGGTTGCTACCTGTAAACGTTGCCTTTGCCTTGTTGATCTTAATTCTCCTCCTTTTTATATTAGGGAAAAGCCACTAAAAGACATATCTTTAATCAGGCAACACATCCTTGAGGGTGCTATTCAGTATTCACGAAAAGTTCTAGAACCACCCAACAGGGAAATAGAAAAAAACTACACAACCACAAACACAACAATGATATTGTGCTGAACGATTTTCAATGATCAGAAATGTAACATCCCAGATTGATCAAACTGTCAGAAGCTGATGCATCTTGATACCTTCACAGTCAATGCTCAGCTAGACTGTATAGATTTTGAAACATTCCCAATGTATGATATTTTAAAAAATTAGTTCTGCTGAATAGTGAGGCAGCACATAAAAAAGCTAATGGATTTGAAGCAGAACAAACTGCGACAATGTACTTATAAATGTAAATTACAAGTAAATGCCGGATTTCTGTGACAAGTTTTCTAAATGGTTATTGATAGCTGAAACTTGTTTTCAATATTTGGATGTTTTGTGTGCAGTACTTTTCACTACTTTTGGCTAAACTTACTGATTGATAATTTTATAAATGACAATAATTCTTCCAATTGCAAAATTAAAAATAGTGATGTGTTTATATCAAATTTCACAAGTACACTCTCACAAAATGCATTTTACAGACATCATGGTTCTTTATAAACAAATAAATGGGTCTTTTCTTGTTGTGTTTTTGAATGCCCTCTTTATTGTTTATAATTATGATGCAAAATTACTTACATGTTTCAAAGGCACATTATGCCTAAAAAACAAAAATAAATTAAATAATGGTTTGAGATAATGTAAGATGCTTGTCACCTGAAGAAAAAAATGCGATAAATTTAAAATACTTTGCTATAAATGTAGGAAATGTAAGCAAAATAGTATTCTAATTTCCATACAAAATACTAATTCACAACAACTGTACTTACAAAATGTAACAGATAAAATGATAGTTCATGTGATTGGCCAATGAGTAACGTTTTGGATACTATAAAACTACACCAAAATTAAAAGCTTTTAATAAAGGAAGATAATGGGCCTTTAAGGAAAACATAATCAATTACATGTGTTATTAAAATGTATAAAAAATATCAAAATTACAATTTTTGATAGAAGGAAAACAATAAAATTTCTCCCCGTAAGAGTATGTTGTAAAAGCATCGTGATGTCTTTAGGTTTAAGTTCAATTTCATCCGCACACTTCTAAATGCTACACTTCTGAGACACGCGCCTGGCGACAATATCAATTAAGGTAGTACACCCCTAATGCACTGTCTCCACTTTGAAGAGTATTCCAATAGGCTAAAATCACTGTAAAGTGTATTGAAACTGAGGGGGCGTGGGTTCAAACCCCAGAAGGGGCAATTTTTTTTCTTTCTTTTTTTTCTTTTTAACATTTTTTATTAATCTCACAGACCCCCTATGGAAGAAAAAAGTGTTTTATTTTAATTATATAATTATTGTAGGTATTTATTTACTAAATAATGTCAAATTTAATAGCAAATATGATACCTGATATTTTCAAAGTTTAATAAAATAAAAACTAAACGGTAAAAGTATTTTATATTTTGCAAGACCAACCAATATACATTAAAGAAAATTTAGGCAAACTTTGAAAATAGCCCCTCATTTTGGAAAATTTTAGGGATATTTTAAATAAGGCTTTTTACATAGGGAAATGGTCAAATTAGTGTTAAAAGTGGGTGGGGTAGGGTTACATTTTTATACATAATAAAAACATTTTGTTTAAAAACAATCATTTTGCTTGTTTAATTTGTTACCTATATGTCATTGTTTATTTCTTAACAATGAGCAAAAGAAAAACATTTTTCATAATGATGATATTATAGATTATTCAGAGTTTCCTCATTTCTGAAAAAATCCCTTCTAATGGCAAAGTTTTAGTTCATAAAAATGTCCATAACTCATAAACCACACGGTAAATTTTGTTTAAATTTTGCATACAGGTGACATTTAAGGCATATAACTGTCCAATGTTGTCAAATTTACAATTCCTTATAGTGCCCATTAGGGGTGTACTACCTTAAAGCACACTTAAATCTAATTTACGTTACAATGAATACAAGTTACCAAACTATGTTGTTTTTGATACATTTGTGTGTGAATTAATTATGATGAATTAAATATTTACCATAAAATAATGGGTTGTTCTTAATTGATTTAAGTATGTTCTATTGGCATTAAAACTTTGAAAGTGTTATGTCGGTCATTTAACCCTACCCAATTTATTAAACCCTATCTTTCTGAGAAACATTCTCGTGTAATGATGTTTATGCGAAACTTGTCCAGCTATAACCAGCTAAAGCAACTGTAGTACAATTCTACTTTGTGTCAAAAAGATGATATACCAAAAGGCAACAAAATGTCAAATCTGTGGGTTTTTGTCCATTTATTTTGGTGAATTGTGATGATCTTAAAGGTTAATATGACATGATGATTCTTGTCTTCTTAAATGTAATACATATTTATATTTCTTACCATAAAATTCAATTAATATATGGATAATTGCATTAAATTCATTAATAAGAGCAAGTTTTAGGAGCTTATCAATTTTGAACGTTTTTCTTTGTTATTTTACCCAACCCACTTTTTAAGTTCTACTCTTCTGGGATAGATACTCAGGAAATAATTTTCTATTCTTAATTTATCAAGAAATGTTCAAATAATAAAAAGCATACAATTAAAACACAATTTCCTTTACATTAAACAAAAATTAAAAGCAAGTTTTGGGAACATTGTAATTTAAAATATTTTTTCGGATATTTTACCCCACCCACTTTTGAAGCTCTACTTTTACGGTATAATGCTCAGATAATAATTTTTATGCTTAACTTGTCTAGCTTTGTTAAATTAATAAAGTACACACAATTTAAATTCATTTTCATTTATATTGTGTTATTACGGAAAAACGAAAGTTTGCCATATATTTGTCATTTTCGCTTAATTGAATAATAAATTAGTCATATTTTATCTGATATTATGCAATTAAAACAACTTTGTACAAAATCTTATAGTACAAAGCCAAGAAACAAACATTGTATGGCATTTTGTAATTCATGGCGGCCATATTGGCGGCCATCTCGAATTTCCGTACTTTTGCCCCAAAAGGGCGTTACTTAAGAAATGGGTTTCTAGAAACTACAAACAATATGTTTTATAATAAAAATGTCTCTTTTTGTGATACAGTAAATTGCAATGAAACCACGCCATCTCTTGGAATAGCTATAGTATATAGCAGATTTTGTTTTTGCAATATACATAGAAAGAATGGGGTGGGACCAATTTTAACCCAAGCGCTTTAATTTGAATAAACTTGGTAGACGTCTACTAGATTATGTTTCTTGACAAAAAACAAAGCTTTACCTCTTCTAGTTTTAGAGATAAAGGTTTTTGACTATAAACATATGAGGAAAACTATGTCCTCTGGGTAGGGGCCAATTTTGATCCAGTGGCTATAATTTAAACATTTTTGTGGCGGTCCACTTGTCAATAATTCATACCAAAAACCTAAGCTTAAGCCTCCATAGTATCCTTATTAAGATTTCAAGAGCCACAGTTTAAGAGCATTGAAATTTTCATATATTACAGTAATTTGTAAAGACGCTTTCAACAATGACATTTACTTTTTAAATATAAATTTTATATAATATTTCCTTGTTCTATTTAGTCATCATAAAGTCAAATATAATAATGAAGTCATGAAGTAACTGGTTGCTATGGAAAGTAAGCTATGGCTATTGTAGATTTAGAGAAGGTTTTTACTAAATACTTTTAAGAAAAATTTATGTTTCCCG